AACATGATCTTGGATGACATGGGGGTGAGCAAATTATCAGGACATTTTTATTCTGGAACTGAACTAATCCTTTAAGTGAATGTTCATCACTTGTTCGCCTGTTGCTTTTAAAGGCATCATGTAGTGTTTGTTGCAGCATTGAATTACAGTTACGCTATGTTGGAACCACCCACCCACGTTTTTATTTTTATTTTTTGCTTCCGACACCCATGGCTGAAACGATCTCCATTTAAAATTCATTCCTGCCAGTGCAGTGACAGTACAAACTGCACACACACCACGCATATGCCTTAAATACACAGTGCCCACTGAGCTCAACTGTGAACTGACATCATGACTTGCTAGCTCCAGTGTTAAAGATTCAAGTAAAATGATCTAAAAGCAGTAGAAAGTCAAAGCATCAGAATTTAAAAAGCAGACATTATGACATCAGGATTCTAAAGACCATTGTGACATCACTGGCAGTTACATTTTCAGTTCTGAACATTCTATGTGGGCGTTCACACAGAATGTTTTTTTTTTTTTTGCATCTAAAAACATGAGACGCAGCGCTCAGGAATGTTTTTAAAAAAATGTTGCCATGTTGCCATGCCAACTTGCTACTGTAAACAAAAGCTTGTGACACTTGCCCCGCCTCCAGGGTCTTCTGATTGGTGCACTCAATATTTTCATAAATAAAGTTGTAAATTATGTTTAATAAAATTGAGGTTAAACCACTGGAGTCGCATGGAGTACTTTAACGAGGTCTTTACAACCGTTTTGGGCTTTGAATGTTTAAGTTGCGTTTGTACCTATGGAGGGACAGAAAGCTCTCGGATTTCATCAAACATATCTTTATTTGTGTTCGGAAGAGGAACAAATGTCTCACAGGTGTGAAACGAGATGAGGGTGAGTAATTAATGACAGAATTTGCATTTTTGGGTGAACTTAACCCTTTAATTTGTTCATGGTTTCATCTTCCAACTGGAAAAAAAACAAACAAACAAAACTATGAAAGAAGCTGTTTTGGTGCTCAGTGCAAACTGCCAAGTATGTACTAAAATATATACTACTGGATATTGCTCACTGAATGTTATTACAGGACAGAAGGAAAAGCTGTGCTGCTCTAGAACTTTGCTTGCTAAAGTTAGCTACTTGTTTCTATGGACAAAATGAAAATTTTAAAGGGTTTTATGAAAGAATTTTCAAGTATCAATCGCTTCTTAGCATGAACAGCATGTAACGAAGCTTAAAAAAATGAGAGCCTGTAGACTAATTTTTATGTGAAGGATTTAATGCGGATTTGCTGGGAAAAATGTCATAACAGTGAATTATAATGAACCTCATGATGTCTGTGAATCGCATTGGCCTACGCTCGCTCGCATTACTATGGAGTTTGTGCAAGAGCATGAGCAATAAGTAGCTGGCTGCAATTCACTTAATGGCCACCGGTGTCGCTAATAACAAGGGTTTCTGAATTCTAGAGCCCTTTTACAGCTAAATATCAGCATTTTTAGGAGTTAACCTTTACTGTTGACTCTGAAATAGCTTGAGGCATCCTCTGGAGTACGACTAGGTGGTATGACAATACAGTTTCACAGGACTGCTTCATTTTTTGACATGCTGATAAAGAAACGATAAAGGAACGATGAAGAAACATGAAAAAATAAAGTGTAGACATGCTTGATGGTATTCAAGCAAGCACAGTCGGTTGTGTCTTAAGTGAACATAAGAAATTTGAAGAAATATGGATCAATATATTGTCTAGTGTTAGGGTTAAAGAATTTGTTTATAAGTTGTTCAAGGAGGGGAAAGCACTTCTCTTTTTTATTATGTGTAGTGTATCTAACTCAGTATTACTAAATATAATGGCACTGTCTCTTGCACTTCAAATGATTGCTTGTAAATATTGTTTGTATTTTAATTAAAAACATTTGATGAGCAAGTATTTGTAATTTGTATCAAAATACTTGTTGATGTATTTGTGCCCATCTCTGGTGCAAAGACCGTCCGTCTAGCGCGTTTACATAGAAAAACATGGAAAAGTACATTATGTGTGAACGGCCCCTAACAGTGCAATGGCACAGCGAGAAAGATTACTATAAAGGTGCGATCATGTTTACCATTTTTCTGTGAATTTTCGCGTTCAAATTCCAGTCATTTCAATAACCGACTTCAGTCTGGGTAGAGCCATATTTAATTTATTCCAGTAATGAAAACGAGGGATAGTAGTACAGTGCGTTCAATGAATTGTAGTGTGGTTTAACAACAAACATTTGCTTCTCATAGCCTATAATCACAAGATAGGGAAAAACGCTTAGCTGTGTGACGCATGCGCAGACGCGGTGACGCTACTGACGATTAAAGCGACTGTCCGACGAGCTTTTATAACGAACATCCGAAACTTTTCGGGCTTGATGGGGTCCTCATGTCCACACGTACATGGATATTTTTTTATATATATTAGAGTTTTTCCTTCTTCCATTTTTAAAAAAATCTCAGTCCACATGAAAACGCAAACGCATGCTATGAAGCACTGTCAAGAACATGCCAAACCAACAGGTGGCGATATAATCTCAACCGTAAAGCCATGTTGGCCAATCAGAAGCCTGAAAAAGTTTCCAGTAGGCGGAGATAACAGCGCAGGCTCCGACGTCACAAGCCAAAAACTCCGGTTTCGCTGTCTACACGATAACACTGCAACCGGAGTTTTTGAAAATCTTCACCCTGGCAGGCGTTTTCAAAAATGTTCGTTTCAGTGAACTGGTGCTGCATTTGCGTGTGATTTATATATCTAAAAATAACCGCGTTCGTGTGGACAGGGCATAGTTACATCACACGTGTCTTCACTGACAGCCGGGAAAAAAACTAATCCATAACTAAACTCGCGTTTTATTTTAATGATAAAAATTTGTATATATATATATATATATATATTTGGCCAATATAAAAAAACCTATATATTTGAATCATCATATTTGAACTTTTATGAACTTCTTCCACTCTAGCACCTGTAAACTCACTCTGAACTCTGCTGCTTCGCCCCGCCCCTCAATAATAATCGCAACATTTTGATTGGTCCAATTCTACATAACTCAAACCGCATCTTTATTGGATAGAATGTAAACGCTTTTTAAAAGCCGAGAATCAGTGCAGTTCTTGTTACTTTTCAGGCTCTGGTTTTCTGTAAAGCATCGCCTATTGAGAAAAAGCAGAGTTGTATACAAATAAATAAAAAAGTAACTTCACTAATAAATAATAGCATATGCATAATGTGTAGAAAAAGAACAACATCATCTTTATTTGACTTCCTTCATGATTAATTTCCATCCAAAAAAATTCTCATTAATAATAAAGTAATCTAATAATTATATTTATAATTAGGGCTTCATATTTATATTTTAATATGGTCCCATTTTCTATTCTAATTTAATCCGTTTTTTTTAAATGTCCAAGATGATCGATGTGAGATAATATCCTTCCTCATAATGGAGTGACAGTAGAATGAGTTTGACCAATGGGAAACGGCCTAGTTTGGCCAGAAACTCAATTGGGCAGTTCTATAGACATTTTTACAGAGTTTATTACCATCACAGCTTCTGTGAAGAAACCGTTCCGTTCCCTGCAGCGTACTACCGTATAAAATGCATTTTGCCTGGTATTTAATGGTAATTAAATTTGACTAAGGCTTTTGAATGAATCTGCGTGTTCTTCCATTCTTATTGATGAACCCAGGTCAGTGTAGCTAGTGGTGTGTTTCAGTAGATGAAGTGAGAGAATGGTACGTTTATAATGAGATCTTGATTTCGTTTTGGAGACTCTAATTTTTCCTGGATTTACTGCAGGTCTCACAGACACGCGCTGCAGTCTTATAAGCTTATAATGGGTGTTCTGCCACTTCTTGAAATAGTGTAAAGTCATTTCTAAAGCAGAAATGTAATATTACTATCTTGCGGAGTGAGACCAGAGATTGTTTGGAAGTCTAAAAATGAAATCAAACCTATATCTAATATATCTTACTCATTTTCTATTTCTAACTATTTGTACAATGTGTGTTTTAAGAAGGAGACTACAGAAGCTCAATGAGCTTAAAGGAGTAGTTCACCCAAAAATGAAAATTTGCTAAACATTTACTCACCCTCAGGTCATCCAAGATGTAGATGAGTTTGTTTCTTCATCAGATTTGGAGAAATGTAGCATTCCATCACTTGCTCAGCAATGGATGCTCTGCAGTGAATGGGTGCCGTCAGAATGAGAGTCTAAACAGCTGATAAAAACATCACAATAATCCACAAGTAATCCACACCACTCCAGTCCATCAGTTAACATCTGGAGAAGACAAAAGCTTAAACCGTTGCTTCTGGCTAAAATACAAGTCCATAATCCATAACAACGCTTCCTCCAGTGAAAAAGTGGTCTGGTGTGAATCAGGAGAGAAATCTGCCCAAGCACCGTTTACAAGCCAAAACAGCTCTAAACAAATATGTGGCTGGATTTTGATGTGAGAGACAACAGGAGATGGACTTTTTTATGGGTTATGAACTCATATTTTGACCAGAAGCAGTGGTTCAAAGTTAAAACGTCTTGATGGATTTGTCTCTTACAAACATGCAGCTTTTGACTTCATTAGACGTTAACTGATGGACTGGAGTGGTGTGGATTACTTTAACTGTCTCCAGACAAGGTCTGTAATATATCAGTGTGCTGCAAAGTTGCAAAACCTGTGTTCAGTGCTATGTACATGTATTGTTTAGGTCCGATTGATGCAGGAAGGCTCTAAATAAACGAGCACTGGTGCAATCAGTCTCTGTACCTTTCATAAATCGACAATTGTGTGTCAACAAAATGGAAACAGCAGTTTACAGATGAGCAATTTCATGCTGCATAATGTGAGCGTTTGTCTTCGGAATGAACCAGATGTAATCAGATGGAGGCATGATGACAATCTGAATTTATGTGTTGTGATTTTCAACATGGAGTGTTTTAACTGTAGATTCCTTGTGTCTCTCTGTGTCTCTCAGGTCTCTGTCTGGTCGTATAGTTGGAGGCGTTTGGTGGTTCTTCACTCTCATCATCATTTCCTCCTACACGGCAAACCTGGCTGCCTTCCTCACCGTGGAGAGAATGGTGTCGCCTATCGAGAGCGCAGAAGACCTCGCCAAACAGACAGAAATCGCCTACGGGACTCTTGATTCCGGTTCCACCAAAGAGTTCTTCAGGGTGAGAGAACAATATTAATGGTTATAATAAAACAGAAAATCAAATCAAACCAAAGGAAAATACATTTAGACTTACCTTGTGGTGGTAGAATTGTGTCAACTGGTGGAGATCTATAAAATTATATATATATATATTACTATAAAGCACATATACTGTATATATTTACAGTTCTTCTCAATTGCTCAAATCAATAAGAAATTCCAATCTGATGTGAACAAGAAGCTAATTGTTCAGAGATCTGAACTTATTGTTTCGGGAAAAAAAAGTTTCATTCGAGAATTGAGCCAAAGCAATTGAGATAAACTGTAAGATTTTTACAAAAAAATAATTAATATTTTTATTCTGCAAAGATGCATCAAATTGATCAAAAGTGACAGTAAATACATTTATAATGTTACAAAAGATTTTTATCTAAAATAAATGCTGTTCTTTTGAACTTTTCCTTTAACAAAGAATCCTGAAAAATAAAATTAATCACAGTTTCCACAAAAATATGAAGCAGCACAACTGTTTTTAACATTGATAATAATCAGAAATGTTTCTCGAGCAGCAAATATTAGAATGATTTCTGAAGATCATGTGACACTGAAGACTGGAGTAATGATGCTGAAAATTCAGCTGCGCATCACAGAAATAAATTACATTTTACAATATATTCACATAGAAAACAGCTATTTGAAATTGTACAAAAAAAAAAAAAATCACAATATTACTGTTTTTACTGTGTTTTTAATCAAATAAATGCAGCCTGGATGAGCAGAAGAGACTTCTTTCAAAAACATAAAAAAATAGTAATTATTCCAAACTTTTATTCCAAAAATATGTTTGTGTGTGTGGGCTTGTTTTGTAGTTTAAGGCATCCAAAGACAGACAGACCAGGCTGACATGCACACTACAGTTCAGTCATCACATTAATAGATCAGAAATTTAATCAGAGTATAAGAGCCAAACCTGCGCTACAACAGAGAGACGGGAGAGGAGCTGGAAAAGCTATTTACTCAGAGAGCAAAGACAAAGTGACAGAGGGAGAAAGACGGATAGGTGAAGAGAGAGAGAGAGAGAGAGACGGGTAATATGAGAGAGAATCTGCGTGAATGATCTGCGAGAGCTGAATGAATGGTCTGTTCATTAATTAGCTGAGCAGCACCGCATGTGTCTCACTCGGTAGCTGTCTCCCTGTTGTCATACACAGATGGTGTGATGCTACTTTCTTACATGGAAAAACATTCATTTTCTCATTCTCACTGCCATTCGGTTTCCACCGACCTGTCACACTCTCTCCGCCATATTTTCTCATTCAATCTGCAAACCTGTCTCACTTTCTTTCAGCCAAACTGTCTCCCTCTCTTCTTCTCTTTTCCAGCCTGTCTCAAACTCTTTGAGCCCGTTTCACTCTCTTCATCATGTTTTCTCATTCTTTCAACCAGTCTAGTCAAAGTCAAGTCAAATTGATTTCACAGTGCACATCGTTTCAAAGCAGCTTTACAAAAAATCATGACGTTAATATTTATAATATCTAAATATCTTCATGCATTATAGTCGCTTTAAGAGCTGGGCGATAATATAGTTATCACTTTATGTGTACTGTACGAATAATTAAATTTTTTTAATTTCTTTATAAGTCTCTTCTGCTCACCAGGGTTGCATTTATTTGATCAAAAATACAGTAAAAACTGTAAAAATGTGAAATATTTTTACAATTTAAAATAACTGTTTTCTATACGAATATTATGTAAAATGTAATTTATTTCTGTGATCAAAGCTGAATTTTCAGCATCATTACTCCAGTCTTCAGTGTCACATGATCTTCAGAAATCATTCTAATATGCTGATTTGCTGCTCGAGAAACCTTTCTGATTATTATCAATGTTGAAAACAGTTTTTGCCATTTAATATTTTTTTGGAAACCGTGATACATTACCATTCAAAAGATTTTTTTTTATTTTTTGTAAAGAAATTATAACTTTTATTCAACAAGGATGCATTAAATTGATCAAAAGTGGCAGTAAAGACGTTTATGTTACATTAGATGTCTATTTCAAATAAACGCTGTTCTTTTGAATTTTCTATAAATCAAAAATCCAGAATAAACTGTGTCCAACAACTGATAATAATATGTACCATTATAAATACTTGAGCACCAATGATAATTGAGCAGCATATTAGAATGATTTCTGAAGATCATGGGACACTGAAGACTGGAGTAATGATGCTGAAAATACAGCTGCGCATCACAGAAATAAATTCAAATTTACATTATATTCAAATAGAAAACAGTTATTTTGAATTGTAATAATATTTCACAATATTACTATTTTTACTGTATTTTTGATCAAATAAATGCAGCCTTGATGAGCATAAGAGACTTCTTTCAAAAACATTACAAATTCCAAACTGGTAGTATGCAGATAAATGCGATAATACATGCAATACAATATGCAATAATACATTTTGCATCAATGTTATATCTAATCTGTCTCACTCTCTATAATCCCATCACAATAACTGTGGCATCCGCCTCAGCAGAGCATCGCTGATATACTGGTCAGAAACATTTGATCAGTTGCCCAGGGAATAAGTAAATGTCAGGCGTCCCGTTGTGTTTGGACTAGTTTGTTTGTCATTTGTTGTGGGGCGTTTGTGTCTGAGCGCAGGTTTGTCGAGGGTTTCGTCTGCGTGTGTGATGTTTTATTTTGGAGTGTTACAGCACAACAGTGCTCCAGACTGAACGTGAAGAACATTATAATGAGCCGGCTGTCCGTCACGCTCTGCTGCTTTCCTCTCACATACTGCAGCTTAAGACTAAGCCTGTGTATAAAAGAGGCGCAAATGATCAAGTACAAGACACACGGGGATACGAGCATGTCAAATATGATATCTCACAGGACAAACACACACATTTCAGCCATATTAGACCCATCCGTCTTTTTTACAGCAAAGCCAGCACAGTAGCGCAACACTTCAGAGCTGACTGCACAGTGCAGAACAAGATCTGAAACATAGGATCTGTTATAATTTGACAAATCAACGTGTGAGTAGCCACAAAATTAATAAACTTTGGGGTCAGAAATGAATATTTTTATTGAGCAAAGATGCATTAAATTAATCAAAAGTGACAGTAAAAGCATTTATAATGATAACAAATAAATGCTGTTCTTTTGAACTTTCTATTTATCAAAGAATCCTGAAAAATAATATGTATCACAGTTTCCACAAAAATATTGGGCAGCACAACTGTTTTCAACATTGATAATAATCAGAAATGTTTCTTGAGCAGCAAATCAGCATATTAGAATGATTTCTGAAGATCATGTGACACTGAAGACTGGAGTAATGATGCTGAAAATTCAGCTTTGATCACAGAAATAAATTACATTTTAAAATATATTCACATAGAAAAAAATATTTTAAATTGTAAAAATATTTTACAATATTTACTGTATTTTTGATTAAATAAATGCAGCCTTGGTGGGCATAAGAGACCACTTTCAAAAACATCTTACTGACTCCAAACTTTTAGACATTTTTTAGACTCCACACTTTCTTTCTTCTCACATCATCAAATAATTTCAGCTCAAATCATATATTGCATGTACATATATTAATATAATGAGCAAGAATTGTACAGAGTCAATCATTTGCAAAAAAAATTAAAAAATACCATCAGGATGATAGAAGACGCCTTTGCACTGTGTAAGACAAGGTTATTATAGTTAACTAAAACTAAAACCATTAAAAAATACATTTTGGTTATTTAATATAAAATACATATGAATTAAAAAAAATTGTTTTATATTAGTTTAGTTTAACTTGATGTACTAAAATAACTAAAATTAAATATACTAAAACTAATAAATAAAAATTAATAAAAACTATATGGACATATAAAAGAAAACTAATAACAATGACAAACAAAATTACTAAAATGTTAACAAAAATTAAAGTGAAAACAGAAAGTATTAATATTCTATATATTAACGAAAATTATTTTATATTAAAATATTAACAAAAACTTTAATAGTATTTGAATGATACTAAAATAACACTGGAATGTGAGGTTTATTTTGGGACAATGACTGGCCATATATTAGTGTTTTTTTATTTAATTCTTTATGATAGCTGACATTTGACTTACTAGGAGTGACAAAAGACACAATTACTAAAGCAAATACTATAAAATATTGACATCTTCCGGTTTTGTTTTAATGCATCACTGTCTAAAAACACTGTATTTGTGATTGATGTGAATCAGATTTCATCAAAGCATTCAGGACCGACAGCATCCCGGTGTTCACTGCATGTCTTTCGCTTCGCCCTCTAGAGGTCAAAGATTGCGGTGTACGAGAAAATGTGGAGTTACATGAAGTCGGCTGAGCCCACGGTCTTCACCAAGACGACAGCCGAGGGCGTGGCTCGCGTGCGCAAGTCCAAAGGGAAATACGCCTTCCTGCTGGAGTCCACCATGAACGAGTACACGGAGCAGCGCAAGCCCTGCGACACCATGAAAGTTGGAGGGAATCTGGACTCCAAGGGCTACGGGGTGGCCACGCCCAAAGGATCGCAGCTAAGGTGGGTGGAGTATTATAACAACCGACCAATCACAGCGCTGTTATAGTATTCCACCCACCCTGCTGCGCTTCTCTCTGTTTCTGTTCCTTCCTGCTGTCTTTCTCTCTTTTCTCTGTTTGTTCTGTCCTTCTCTCAGTTTTCACACTTGGTACTCTCTGTGATGCAGTGATATCTTTGTGGTCACATATACAGTTGCTGTTTTTAGCTTTATTGGGCATAACCTTAAACCGCATAAACACATTTCATTACACCAAATACACAAAATAATGTTCTTTTTAGCAGCATCATATGACCCCTTTAAGTCCCATTGACATTCTATGTAATATATACATATATATATATATATAAACTATTAAAATAATACATGTTGTCCTGGCAAATATCTGAAAAAAAAAAAACAATTTTTTTTATTTTTAAGGGCTCGTATCATGATAAATGAAATAGGCTTTTACCTGACAGGCTATAGTATAATTGAGATACTATTATAGTTCTTATTTTTATATTTTCCATTTTTATTTTAATTTAAATTAAAGTTTACAATTTTTTAGTAGTGTTAGTAATTTTCCCCCCCGAAATATGTCTATATAGTTTTTATTCATTTTGGTAAAACTTTACAATAAGGTCTCATTTCTTAACATTAGTTAATGCATTAACTAACATGAACTAACAATGAACAATATATTTTTACAGCATTTACTAACCTTTGTTAATGTTAGTTAATAAAAAATAGTATTTTCATGTTAGTTCATAGTACATTAATGTTAACGGATATAACTTGATTTTAATAATGTATTATTGGCAAACGTTGAATTTAACATTAACTAAGTTTAATAAATGCTGTAAAAGTATTGTTCATGTTAACTAATATAGTTAACTAATGTTAACAAATGAAACCTTATTGTAAAGTGTTAAATTAATTTTCATTTTAGTTATTTTAGTACATCAAATTAAACTAAATTAATATAAGAAATGTTGTCCTGGCAAATATCTGAAATTTTAAAAAAATAATAAATAAATAAAATATTTTCTTTCATGTAACATGTTTTATGGTTGTAGTTTTAATTGAATAGTTTAATGAATATTGTAGGAATGAAAAATAACTGAATTAAGAAATTAAATGATTTAAATGGATTTAAGCAAATAAAGAAAAAAGAACAAAAATAATTAACCAATTTGAACTATTTGTAAATAATATTCATTTTAAAATATGCACACATTCACTCTTACTTTCTTATGCATAATATGTCGAAAATGCAAAACAGCAGTATGTTTCTTGTCTCGTCACACTTACATTTTGAAATACATGCATCACAGAAATGATTCAGCCTATATTTTCAGTATAAAATGGCAAAATTTGAGATACTTCAGTAAAGTTGAGTAAAGTTTTGCTTTACTAGAATTACTGTCAGTCGTTTAACATTTCTATTATAAAACTTTATAAGACTTTTTATCTTCCAATGTAGACTTTTTTCTCAGAATTGTGTTATTAATTGCAAGATGTAAACTCAGAATTTGAGAAAAAAGATCAGAATTGCAAGATGTAAAGTTTAAGTTATGACTGTTTTTGCTTTAAAGAAAATATTAATAACTTTATAGACTAAAAAAGGACATGACATGATATGACCTCTTTAAACACAATGACAAAACCAAATAAACATTTTACTTTTACTATTTTGCTCAGAAAGTGCTACCTTTTATTTTATTAATGAAACTTTTCAAAGACAAAAGCTCCTGTATCCCACGAGATATCAGCGTTTGAGCTCACAGACAGTGCTGTGTGTGTCTGTGTGTTTAATATTGTTCTTCCTCCACAGAAGCGGCGCTCAGGTAAACGCGTGCCTCGTGTTGCTCATTTCTTCTCATCAAGCCTGTATCCTGTCTAACATCTTCATTCTCAAGTATTATTTCTCATCTCTTCCACTGTTCCTGCACAAACTATCAGCATGTTTTACACCACGCCATCCTCTGGATGTGAAAGTTGCTTAAAATTTCCAAAGACAACATGAAATTAACATTTACTGCCAAACATAAATGTACTCTTATTGAATATTACGCATCAGTCCATATTATTACCATTCAAAAGTTCGGAGTCTGTACGATTTTTTTTTATGTTTTTGAAAGAAGACTCTCCAAGGCTGCATTTATTCAATCAAAAATACAGAAAAAAAAACAATATTCTGAAATATTATTACAATTTAAAAGAACTGTTTTCTATGTGAATATATTGTAAACCGTAATTTATTTCTGTGATCAAAGCTGAATTTTCAGCATCATTACTCCAGTCTTCAGTGTCACATGATCCTTCAGAAATCATTCTAATATGCTGCTTTGCTCAAAGTAGTCTTATGGAAGATAAATGTGTTGCAAATGTTAATTCATGTTGTCTTTAAATATACAGAATAATTATTAGAAATGTGCTGTTATGACGTATGTTAGCTGAAATGAGTTTCAATGAGCGTTCTGATCTGAGGTCAGTTTTTGACCTGTGTGGAGATTCAGTTCTGCCTGAGAGGATTTTACTGACCGTCTGAGTGTGGATCATCCTTGAGAGAGTACTTGATCATTTTGATTCTGAGTCTGCTTGTGTTGCTATCGGCCAGTTCAGCAAACTAATCTCAGCACCGTGACCTTTGACCCCGACCGTTTACCCTCTCCAGAACAGCTATAAACATGCTGCTGGCGTTTACAGATTCTGTGTTGCCATCTTACATCCACAGCATAAAAACGAGCCTGTCACTCTTTCTGTGTCTCTAAAACTGACACCAATAGACAGAATCTCCTTCTGCTGAAATCTCACATATGTCTGGGTGGATCCTTTAAAATAACAGTTCACCCAAAAATGAAAATCTGCTGAAATGTGCTCACCCTCGGGTCATCCAAGATTCAGATTTGGCGAAATGTAGCATTGCATCAGTGTCTCAGCAATGGATCCTCTGCAGTGAATGGGTGCCGTCAGAATGAGAGTCCAAACAGCTGATAAAAACATCACAATAATCCACAGGAAGCGTTATTATGGATTATAGACTTGTATTTTAAATGGAAGCAACAGTTTGAAGTTAAAAACATCTTAATGCTGGATTTGTTCCAGCTTTTGTCTTCTCCAGATGTTAACTGATGGTCTGGAGTGGTGTGGATTACTTGTGGATTATTGTGATGTTTTTATCAGCAGTTTGGACTCTCATTCTGACGGCACCCATTCACTGCAGAGCATCCATTGCTGAGACACTGATGCAATGCTACATTCCTACAAATCCGTTCCCATGAAGAAACAAATTGCACAGTTCCCGCAGATTTTAGATGAAAGACGCTGCACAGGTTGAGTCTCCACACAGACCTGAAAAACAAAACAATGGACGTGAATACTGGCGTACTGCATAGTATATACTGCACACTTCCTGCTGGCTGTTTTTAAATAGCGTATGAAGCATGCAGTATGTACAATACAAAATATTTTGTCTTCATATGATAACATCCAAAAGAACAATTATTAACTAAAAGCATCCTACATTATGTTGCACCAATGAAAGTCATTTGTAAATGCGCTGCAAAAACATGATTTTCTTACTCAGTGTTTTTGTCGTTTTATGATATTAAAGGGGTCATGAACTGCATTTTATAACGTTATCAAGATTTTTACATAAAAAAAAAACTAAAATAATTTAGAAGTAATAGGCTATTTTCTGTCCTGTTTTGACCCCCTCATCGAAACGCATCGGATTGTCGGCTTGGACGTAAACGCCCACTGCTGTGATTCGCTATCAGTTGTGTGTGTTTGACAGCTTACATCCTTCACAGATGGACTCATTAATACTCAGTACATATCAAACAATCAGACAAAGCAATAGTGAGCACGTAATAAAAACAGTTACTCACACTTGTGTGACGAGACATTACTGTTGGATCCAATAGAGTCGCACAGCATTGTCCTTTAGTTTCACGCGGTGGGTTGTAGACTCGGAAGTAAACGCCCACTGCTATGATTGGCTAATAGTTGTGTGTGATTGACAGTCTACGTCCTTCACTGATGGACACTGCTGTGATTTAGGTTTAAAAGGTATAAATACTCAGTACATATCAAACGATCTGTTTAACAGACAAAGCAATAGTGAGCACGTAATAAAAACAGTTACTCACACTTGTGTGACGAGACATTACTGTTGGATCCAATAGAGTCGCACAGCATTGTCCTTTAGTTTCAATCTTTCTGAAAATCCTACGTTGATTTGTGCCTTGTTTGTAAACGAATCCGCGGTAAAATGAAGTGAACAAAGGAGCGAGTTCTTACAGACCGAGTCTGTAACTTCATTAAAAATAAAGCTAATCCACTCTTTCCTAATGTTGGGATCTGATGGAAGGCAATGCAAAGACTGTGTTTTTCCACAACTTGGCTCTGAACAACGTCTTGTTGTTTTTGGAGCATCTTTATCTTTGGTTTCCGCGTAGACCTGTGTTTGCCTCTCTCGTTATTTACACTACAGGCGTGAGTCGGTGGGCGGAGCTAAACAGGCAGTGATGTCGAAGCAGGTGTTGATCTTCTTCTGTGGAGGCGGGGTTTAGCCGCTCTATTACGTCATAAAGTGGCACATTCCACAAGCTGTCATTTTGGCAGAATGGCTTCAGTATAAGCAGTTTTTAGACTAACGAGGAAGTTTTGAGTTCTGAAACTTACAGGATGTTTTCATAGTACAATGACCTCTTATATGTCAAAGGATCAAGGGAATTTATATTTCTCAGTTCATGACCCCTTTAAGTCTTGCTTTCTGAAAAAAAAGATCAAAATGAAGTGAGTTTATGGTTTAAAAAATCTGTTACTGGTGTAAGAAAAATAAACTTAATTCAAAGAAAAACAAGATTATTTTCTTACTGCACTAACAGATCTTTTTTCTTGTTTTAAGCAAAAACTCACTTCATTTTAATACATTTTTCAGACATAATTTCTTCTAATTTTCCTTTTGAAGTAAATGTATCTTTATTTAAGAATTTACATATTTATAATTGAAAATAAGACAAAAATACTAAGTAAGAAAATCATGTTTTGCAGTGCAGGCAGAAGTAACATTAAAAGTCGATATGAAATCATATCTGACAATATTTAGTTTCTTAATACACAATCCAATCTATTTCATGAGCTTATCAGTTCACAGTGAAGTCCCGCTCTACATTTTTTCTTGTTTCACAAATCATAAATGTCACATTGTGGTAGTAAAATTGCCTTTTTCACTGTGCAGCATAAAGTGTTTCATGTCATCAGTATTTCTCATTTCTTCATCGAATGTGACACGCTTGTGGAAACACTGAGGATGTTTCTCTCACATCTGTTTCTCGCTCTCATTTATTCCCTCTGATGTCAGTAAGAGTCTCCAGGTTTCTGAAATCCTCCTACTGAACATCTTCATTTGCTTCAGTCTACAATTACACTCGAAATATGTCAGTTTTGATATGCAGGCACACAAATGGTTGGCCGCTGTTCAATTTTCTTCAATGAAAAACAGCAGATAAAACGCATTGCAGTGTCAAAATTGTAAGAAAAGAAAAACATCCAATTTCAGTTTCACATTTTGCTGAAAATTACAGTGTTCATAGAAACCTCAAGTTCAATTCCTATGGGACGTTCTGTAACACCAGACACCATGCAATATTCCATGAGCCACAAAAAAAAAACAATCAAATATCACAGCCAATCAGAAGAGCGTGTGGGCGGGGCTATTTCTGCAAGCGCGCTGCACTGCCGACGACGTGGATAAGTACTAATTCATATATATTAAACCATTTTAACATTATTAAAAACAATCTTTGCCATATGATACACTTGTTTGTTTGAATAGGGTTCACAACTTGAACAAGATCTGAGGCAATTTATTAATTGTCGTTTGACTATAAAGGTCACGCAAAATGATATTCGAACTCACATCAGAGATTTTTAAGATTAAATAAAGCACATAATCATTATCTGAAATTAGCACTGTCATAGTTTGGAGGTTGTTTTTTCCATCGCAGAAATAGAAACCGTTTAATCCCCTCGCGCATTGCATATGGGCGGAGCTTGAAATGATGGGCGGGGCTTAGCGACGGTGAATCGGTCGATTTCTATTGTCATTTTTAGTATGGTTGTAAAGGTATATTCAAAGTCAGAGACTTTTAATTTTAAATAAAGCACCTGTCTCTCGTTGTGCACTGCGTCGCGTCTGGGCGGAGCTTGAAACAGTGGGCGGGGCTTATCCCAGATCAATTCTAATCAAACAAAAAAACTTTTAAGACTAAATAAAGCACATAAGCATTACTTGAGATTATCTTAGTTATATATTGTAGGTTGTTATTGTTCCAGCAGAAATAGAAACCCGAGATCCGCGTATCGCGTCGCGTCTGGGCGGAGCTTGAAATAGTGGGCAGGGCTTAGCGACTGTCAATTCTGCTCACAAACACAAACAAAAAATGCTGTTTTTAAATGTTTTAAAATAATAATGCTGATTTCTAAACATCATACTGTATGGATCACTCATAGAGAAATGATAATCTCAGAAAGGTCAGTACCAAAATAAATAGCAGATGAGTTGAGAGAAATGTTATTAAATTCACATTTTATTCAGTAGTGGAAAATATTGCTAAACTAGTTTAATGCAACGAGTATTTTACTTAGTTTTACTCAGTATATAGTATTACACTACTTTTCGAAAGATAGATGGAATAAAATGAGAGCGAAAGTGAGAGAGAAACATCCCATAAAAGGCCTCATTAACAGCAGCTGCCTTCCATGAGCCTCTCTTATGTTCTCTCTTGTTTTCTGTTTGTTTTGTGTCGTCTAACCCGGGCTGTGTGCGGCCCGCTCTCATGTGATGTTTATGGTTTGTTGAAGAAATGCCGTAAACCTGGCCGTGTTAAAGCTGAATGAGCAGGGGCTGTTGGACAAATTGAAAAATAAATGGTGGTACGACAAGGGCGAATGTGGCAGCGGGGGCGGGGACTCGAAGGTTAGCCACCGATGAAACGCAGAGGAGTGGTAAAAAAAAAAA